CAGCCCTGCTGACCCCCCCCCCCCAACCCCCCAGGTCCTACTGCAGCCCCATTTCATCAAGGCTGACTCCCTGCTGCTGACGGCCGTCAAGACGGACGCCAGCAGTGCCAAGACCTCCAGTATCGCCTCCCTGGCCACCAGTGCCAGCGGCTCTGCCACCCCACTGCAGGTGCCGGTAGGTCCCACTGCCGGGGAGCTCTGAGGTGGTGGTGGGATGCTCCAGGACCCCCACCGACACTGTCCCGCATCCCCACAGGCTCTGGTGAGCGGAGGGACCATCCTGGCCACGGTGCCGCTGGTGGTGGACACAGAGAAGCTGCCCATCAACCGGCTGGCACCCAGCGGGAAGCCGCCACTGGTGCAGAGCCGGGGGGAGAAGCGCACGGCTCACAATGCCATCGAAAAACGCTACCGCTCCTCCATCAACGACAAGATCGTGGAGCTCAAGGACTTGGTGGTGGGCACCGAGGCCAAGGTGGGAGCCTAGGGGTGGTGGGGCAGGGGTGGGCAAGGGGGGGCTTTGCCCGGCATTTGGGCTGAGCCATCCCTGCCCGCCGGCAGCTCAATAAATCGGCGATCCTGAGGAAGGCGATCGAGTACATCCGCTTCCTGCAGCAGAGCAACCAGAAGCTGAAGCAGGAGAACCTCGCGCTGAAGATGGCCGTGCAGAAGAACCGTGAGTGGAAGGGCAGGTCTCGGGGTGGAGGGGTGCTCAGCCTTGGTGCTGGGGCTGCCGTACCCCCCCAGCACCGCTCAGCCCATTCTGCTCCCCCCCACAGAGTCCCTGAAGGACCTGGTGGCCTCCTGCAGTGGGGGGGCCAAGGCGGAGACCCCCATGGAGGTGGTGAAGGCGGAGGTGATGGAGATGCTGACGCCGCCGCCCTCGGACGTGGGCTCGCCGTCCCACAGCAGCCCGCTCTCGCTCAGCGGGGGTAGCAGCAACAGCAGCAGCGACTCGGAGCCTGACAGCCCCCTCTGCGACCATGGCAAGGTGGGGGGTGCTGGGGGGGGTTGGATCCCCCACCCTGAGTGGGGCAGGGCATCAGCTGCATCACGCCTGGGGTGCCAAGAGCAAGGCGCACCAGATGCCGGTGTAGGGAAAGGAGCTGAGAGCCCTGGTCTTGCTCTCTGAGGCTGCTCCTCACCCGATTTGGGGCTGGAGGGAGGGATGCGGGGGCTTTCTGGGGTGCAGGGGGCTGCTGGACCCCTGGCCCATGCCCATGCCCATGCCCCGTGCTCTGTACCCCAAAATGTGCTCTGTACCCCATGCCCATACCTTGCACTCCATGCCAATGCCCTGTATCCCATACCTGTGCCTCGTCACCATGCCCCATGCCCGTACCTGTGCCCCATGCCCTATATCCCATTCCTGTGCCCCATCACCATGCTCCATGTCCATGCCCGTGCCCCGCGCCCATGCCCCGGGGCTCAGAGCAGCTCTGCCCGCACAGGTGAAGCAGGAGCACCCGCCACCCTCGCCCAGCAGCCAGGGCATGCTGGACCGCTCCCGCATGGCCCTTTGCGCCTTCGTCTTCCTCTGTCTCTCCTTCAACCCCCTGGCCTCCCTCCTCCGGGGCTCCGGTGCCCCGGCCTTTGTGGGGAGCCCGGGCACCGCTGGCCCCAGCAGGAGCATCATGGCTGAGTCTGGCACCATGGGTAAGCTCTGGCATGGGGTGGGGGCTCTTGGGGTGGAGGCCACTGGGATGGAGGCTGTCGGGATAGGTGTGGGGTGGAGGCTGTCGGGGTGGGCAAGGGGCAAAGGCCATTGGGATGGAGGCTGTCGGGGTGGGCAAGGGCTAGAGCCTGTTGAGGTAAAGACCATTGGGGTGCTGGGTGTTTGGGTGGGTGTGTGGTAGGGGCTACCTGGGTTGAGGCTGTTGGGGTGGAGCCCACCAGGGTGGAGGTTTTCGGGATGGGCCTGGAGTGGAGGCCGTTGGAGCGGTGACCATCAGAGCGGAGGCGGTCACGGTGGACGTGGGGTGAAGGGCATCAGGAGGGGGGGTCTTGGGGTAGGTCTGGGATGGGAGACGATTGGGGTGGAGGATGCTGGCGTGGGGCAGAGGCCATTGGGTGGAGGCTGTTGGGGTGGGCACGGGGTGAAGACCACCGGGATGGAGACCCTGGGGTGGGCGCAGGGCGGAGGCGGCGGGGTGGCGCTGACCCCCTCCCCACGCAGAGGAGCCGTGGGGGTGGTCGCAGTGGCTGTGGCCCACCCTGGTCTTCTGGGCTCTGAACGCGGCGCTGGTGCTGGGGGCGGTGGTGCGGCTCTTCGTTTGCGGGGAGCCCGTCACCCGCCCCCACTCCGAGCCCTCCGTCCTCTTCTGGCGGCACCGCCGGCAGGCAGACCTCGACCTCGACCGGGTAAGCCCACCCTGCCCCACCCTGCATGATGGCACCTGCCCCACCCACCCTGGCCACGCCCCACT